CGCGGTGCCCTGCCTGTGGAGCGCCCGCGGCTCGGTCCACGCAGCTCACTGCGCGCCTTCCAGGGGCCTCACCTCTGATCTGCAGAGCGCTGCAGATGGAAACCGTCTCAGAAACACCAAGGAACTGCGCAACAAAAGAACATACTACAGAGAAACCAGGTGCACCATGCCTAACAGCCTCGGAACAAGCTGCAAATTCAAATACTTAATGCAGTTAAAACACATGCTTTGTGAGGGGAGGGTTAATATTTTCTTGGTCTTGCTGACACAGCATCCAGCGTGCAGGAATCCAGGCACGGCTGCAGTGCCCGACTTCTGTCGAAATACAACTATTACATAATTAATTGTAAAGGTTATGAAAAATTTTAATTAGCTCTGTAAGAAGAGCCAGGCAGCTTACCTGTTTTCTCTTCCACTGTTTCTACAGCCGTGACGTGTTTCTCCAGGGGACTGGGATACTGGAATAAAAATGCACAGGGTAAAGGTTACCATTTCTCACATGGGCAAAAAAATATTGCCAGCTGTCACTTGCCAAGTCAGAAGCGGTTTCATAGCTTCTCTCAATAGGTACAAGCTGCCTGGTATTACCAATCTGCAGTCTCCATTCAAGTTAGCAGAAAGGAAGAATTTATTTAGGTTAGCGTAGTAAGTCAGTTTAGCCAACAAACAGGAACCCCACAACACCGCTAAGAGAAAAAGCGCTTGAAGGGAGGTGCTAGCTTTTGCTACAGCATACAGACTTCTTCCATGCGTCCTCCACACTACAGAAAGGAAGACACTAGCTCTGGACCTGCATCTCGTCTTTCAAACGAGGGCTCAGCAGAGCTTCTGGCAGCATGGCAGCTCCACGGGCCAAAGCCCCCACGCCACGCTCCGCAGCAAACAACGGCATCCCGGGCTTCTGCAGCAAGCAAGCTGCCTGTCGCTGCCGCCGAGCACGTTCCGCCACACAACCCCTCTCCGCAAGCAGAAAGCTGGAAGGGTGCAGTGCAGCGTCACCTGAACGCAGACTCTGGCATGCAGCATCTCCCCGGCCCGCAAGCACTGCCAGGAGAACGTGGCAGCAGGCCGTCGTCTCAGCCGGCGGCGTGGGCCCACCCGGCAAGAGCGCTGGCCGGCAGCCGGGGTAAGGGGTCGCCCCTGCCCGGGCCTGCGCAAGGCAACCTCAAAAAAACGGCCCGGCGCAAGGCAACCTCGCCTTCCCCAGGCTGCGGAGACGAGGCGCTGCGAGGCTGGAAGAAAGGGACCCTCATTCCAAGACCCCTACTGAAGGAGAATGATGCTGAAATTGTATAGGCTGCCTGTAGGGCAACATCCTGTGTGAGATCTATGCACAAGAACAGGGCGCCAAAGGATGAAGAGTCTAATTTGGAACTTAGAAAACTCCTCTGGCTAGAGATGAGACGCAGAAGGCCACAAGGACCTTGCTCTCCATTGCAAAAAGTAATCAGCATTCACTGGATAATGAACTCTAAACTGTAAAGCGTAAGGTAATTTATTGAACTCAAATAATACTCAAAAATTACTGTAACCTCCATGCTAATACGAATACCAGACTCAAGAAACACTGATCACCAGACTGACATTAAACAAACTATGAAGCTTTAGGAAAGGTGGGGAAATTGCACATTAAGGCTAACTCAGTTTATGTAGTGCAATTATGATGGGCAATAATAGGTGCTCCAAAGTTCTGATATAAAAGAAATCTGCTTTCAGGCAAAAAAGGCAGACAACTCCAGAACAGGCTGTTCTGTAATCCAGCTCTACTGTTTTCTCTTGCTGCAGAGTAAGAGTTGGTTTCAGAAGCACAAGGTTTTCAAGTCCCGTTGTACTGAGACATCGGAGGCTTCTCCACGACACGCTGCTGTGAAATGGCAGTGGTGACACAATTACATCATCCACGTAACTTACACTCCGCGAGGCCCAGCCATGTCTCCAGAACAGGCTGTTCTGTAATCCAGCTCTACTGTTTTCTCTTGCTGCAGAGTAAGAGTTGGTTTCAGAAGCACAAGGTTTTCAAGTCCCGTTGTACTGAGACATCGGAGGCTTCTCCACGACACGCTGCTGTGAAATGGCAGTGGTGACACAATTACATCATCCACGTAACTTACACTCCGCGAGGCCCAGCCATGTGAAACATGATTTACATAAATCTTTCACTAAGCAGCCGGCTCTATTACCCCAGCATTTAGACAGCAACAGCCTCAGTTTCCTGCACAGCACAGTAACAGCAGTAACGCTGCCAGTCCAGCGCAGACGTAGCGGC